GTGATCTGAAGCCCTCTTCTGGCCTCTGCAGGCAGCTGAGCTGAAATAATCATGCCCAGAGAGAGAGAGAGAGAGAGAGAGAGAGAGAGAGAGAGAGAGAGAGAGAGAGAGAGAGAGACAGAGACAGAGACAGAGACAGAGACAGAGACAGAGACAGAGACAGAGACAGAGACAGACAGACAGTATGTATAGTTGGACAGGGGCATACACACAAATTAAAAAGAAAATAGAGCTGAAATAAATAAATATATAAATACATAAAATTGTCATTTGGATTTCCATCAACAGAAATAAAATAAAGGCAGTTAAGACCCAGAGGAAGCAAGTTACCAGCTCAATTGATAGCTTTGCCCCAGGGAATAAAATATTTCCATAGACAGATAAGCACTTACCACCTTAAGCAAGCCCTAGGCTGGAGAAAAGCTATACAGGAACAATACTTGCCACAGCTATGGAAAAGCAGGGTGCTGGGAAGGAACTGCCCTCAGCAGGGAACTGGGAAACATCTCACTTTCTGCAAAGGAAGATGTCCTATTGTTTGAAAGGAGGCTGGGCTCCCTTCAAAGACCAATGATACTCATGGTTCCCTAACAAAATCTCCCCCACCCCAAATGTGATTTCTTTCCCAATATTAGGGCTTTGTTCTCTATCGGTGACTAGGAAACTTATATAGTAACCAGTGTTAGTGGAAATGCCCCAAAGTCAAAGGAGCTGTTGCCATCAGTCAGTCCCAGCTTTGGGAACTGACCCACACATGGCACCATAACAAAGGATGGCAATGGGAGGGAGGACTCACCTCGTTGGGAGTGTCAAAACTGTTAATATAGCTTACTTCACCAGTTTGTAGCAAGCGAATATCCAAAATGCTCATAAACTGTAGTAGCTAAGTGGTTCTGGTAGATGTACTCTTGTCAAGAATATAAATGTCTTCTGATGTTTCCTCACACCTCCCTAAGGTAGAAAGACGCATTCTACTCAGTAGTTACTCTTTGAATTCTTTCTCTTTTTGTGCCTCTGTGGTCTCAGGAACACCTTAAAGACAAGGCCACTTGCACACACAACTAAAAGGTTCTCTCCAAACAAAAAGGATATCTTAATTTCTTTCTTTTTTTTTTTTTTTTTTTTTTTTTGGTTTTACGAGACAGGGTTTCTCTGTATTGTTTTGGAGGCTATCAGTCCAGCCTGGCCTCGAAATCACAGAGATCCGCCTGGCTCCGCCTCCCAAGTGCTGGGATTAAAGGCGTGCGCTGCCAACGCCCACAAAGATGTGACCTTTTTATAAGCAAGTAACTGTAAACTTTGTGTTTTAGCTTTATTTATCGTTTGATACCATTGGTACTCTGCTGCAATCCCACACTAGCTTCCTTTGGATCTATTCTACTGTTAGATTCCTTTTAGAAACTGTAGTTTTGGGTTTTTCCACATTTTCAACCAATATCGTATTTTATCAATAGTCAAAGGGACCACGCTTCCAAGAATGACCTAGCCAAAGACGGCTCTTCTGGAACAAGCATGGCTGTGGCTTCCCGGGATCTTATCCTTTCAGGGGACAAGGACTGGCATAACTTTGTTACTCTTACTTAGGCCTCCTGCCATTAATCTTGTAAAATTTGTGTCTTCCAGGATATGATAGTTTTAAACTAGTTCTCTATGATGCAACTTCTACTATTTGTAGTCCAAACCCTCCTCTCCATTCAATAAAGAATGGAGAAAGTCAAAGGACTGCTCTCAGGGTTCTGTGTCCCTCATTAGCATAGACAAAACTATAGAAGACCGATTCTCATCATTCAAGGGCCCCGGAAAGATTTCTGGGCTACTGCTTTTAGGGTGGGGTTGGATCAAGGTAATGTGGGAGGAAGGCATATGTGTTGTCTGAGGACAACTGTGCCAAAAAAAAAAAAAAAAGATACTAAGAGCGAATGTTTATTTTAATACCCCAATTCCCCCCCCCCCCCCCAGATCCAGGCTTCTAGAGAACAGGGTCAACGGTGTCTTGTCACAGGTATACTGTCAAACCTTTTAGTGGCAGAACCAGTGAGGCAAAGCTTCTTAAGTGATGCAGAGCTACACTTGCTGTTTGAAAGCGAAGCAGTGTTGGGGCACAGAGACTGGCGACTTTGCTCACCGGAACTCACAGTCTCACAAAGCAAAGCTGAACTCTGTCGCCACCTGCAGTCCAAATGGTACATTGCAAATTCCCCATCTTAGACGTAGGCTCCAAGGATCCCACCTTGCTTGCTGGGTAGAGTTGAGACAGGAGTTTCTCTAGGATGTAGAGTCTATGTTCAGATAGAATCACAGGAGCTGACTTAGCTATGCAAATGTGAAGTTCAACTTAAAATGTGGTCAAATAATTCAAATGCCAATGCATCAGCTTTTTGATTTTTGCTGACTGATACTCAGGATAAGATGATGTTCATTAAAGTTTTATTTGCTTTCCTTTACTTACTTTTTCTTTCTTAAACTTGGATTGCCTTCCCTTGAACTAACATGTTTAATGTGTGTTTTGTGCAGTTGTTCATCGGGTCTACAGGGATGCTCAAGTTGGTATCTTAAAATAAAAACCTGGTCCAAAGAGAAATATCAATGTAAAATTTGGATCTTGGTTTGAATGATTTAGGAGACTCTGAACATATTTCCCTTTAGGATAGAGTTGTTCTAGAACTTCTGCCCACATTAAATTCTATAGCAGATATACACGTGTGTGTGTGTGTGTGTGTGTGTGTGTGTGTGCACATCATATACACGTGACCACCCACCAAGTTCCTGAGTGCTATCCAAGAGATCTTTCACACTATGTACCAGTCACCTGTCCTGTCCCCACACCCACCATTCTGAGAGTGGTGGATAAGATCTTAAGTGTGCCTCTCCCACACATTTGCATAATTATAACTTCTGCAGCCTGGTTGAGACATTGGTGTGGTAGGGAGGAGAAGGAATTTAAGTACAAGTCTTGGGCTATGACAGAAAAGTATCCCTGGAGTTCCTCCTGAATTGTACCTGTCAGAAGTAAGCTTCTTCCACTTTTGAGTTTTGGTACCCCAATGCCATAACATCCTGCCGCCAATTCTACCAGGGCTCTGCAGAACACGAGTTTTCCTAATTTATTTACTTGTCTTGGTTTTTCGGGGTGGCAGTAGGGGATGCTCACGGCCCACATGTGGGGATCAGAAGACCACTCGGAGAGTTGGTTCTCTCCTTCCACCGTGTGGGCTCCAGAAATTGAACTCAGATCGTCAGGTTCATGAGCAAGTGAATGCCTTTTCCATCTGAGCCGTGTTACTCCCCCCCCATCCCCCCCCCTCCCCCGTGTGTGTTTTCCCTTGCCCTGGACACGTCAAGCTAAGCTCTCAGCCCCAGGCCTGCCCAATCTGGAGCAAGGTGATCTGCTTTCTATAACGTTCACTATACCCATGTGTTCTTGGAGGGCAGAGGCTTCGGGGCTCTGTGTCCTCCCCCCAGTGCTAATGTAAACCTAGCAAATATCAGCTACTGAAAATGTTTTTGTCTGCGCAGAGAATGTTATTCTGCTGGTGCGAGGAGGCCTGATGTGCCTGGGTGGCCCATGGGCACAGATCTTAAGAGGAGGCCAGCAAAAAACAAAAACAAAACCAAAAAAACGAGCGATCATTGTTAAAATAATCAACTGGGGGGGGCCGCTGTTCCAAGTCTTGGGTTTCTACTTTGTCAAACCGACAGGCAGCCCAGAGAATGGTCATAGCCTAAGAAAATGAAACTTAGATTAACTAACCAGAAACTGCCAACTAACCTCTAATTAGAAGCTCAAACAATTAGAAACTACTGACTAACATTTAAGCTGGGACTTTCCACTTTAAGCAATCAAATTTTTCTTCCCCTTGTTTCCTGAATGTCTTCTAAAACTATTCCCCCATCCTCCAATGAGCCCCCCTTGGTAAAGCCCTAAACAACTTGTCATCCGTGCTGCCTAACTCATGAATCACCCAGATAAACTCTAACAGGCCTAAGCTCAAGTGCCTAAGTTTATCTTCTATAATCTTAGTAAGCGAAGGAGAAGATGAGGCATGGGCAGGCTACCCATGGAACCACAGAGCAGAAACTGACCTCTGCAGGTACCTGACTGTGGGGTGAGGGTGTGGGACTTAAAGGAGGCTCTGGCAGCTTCTAGGTCAATTCAGGGATGATCACAGGGGCTCTGCTTGGAATAGCAGATAATTCCTCTGGCCTTCCCAGATAAGGCCTAAACTCCTTTGCAAGTCATTTGCAACTGGACTCCACCCGTCTTCCTGTTTTAATTTTCATCAACTCCTCAACCGCAAGTCTTGGGTTCCAGTCACATGGGTGACGCACCATACCCCAGACATGCCTGGGGCTCTCCTCTATCACACCTTCCTGGGTTGTTGATTCTACACAGCATGCTCGACCCCGTGTTCTCGGACAGGAAAACTCTTTTTCCTTTGAGTCCAGGGTTAGATGTCCCTTTGTGCGGCCCCGTTCTTCCTGGGCATCTCCTGTCATTGGTCCACCTTGCACTGTGGCTCCGAGTGGATGATATCCTGAGAATCCAACCAGAGCCTCGAGATCGCCTTCCCAGCCAAGGTTTTGTACCTGGTACCCTTTGTGCTCCAGCGCTGCTCTAGATACTGGTGATGCCAAAGAGTGCCGGTAGCTCACCCCTCACTGAACCAGGGTAGTACAGGCTAGGTATTGTCAAGTTAGAGCAGGGACAAGGGACAGGATAGTGTCATGCTAGAGCAGGGACACAGACTTTCTGTGAAATGGAAAGTTGTTGGGGCTGTTGGGCAAAGGGTGCAACTACAAACTCTCAGAAGAGTCGAGCCTGATATTCTGGTTGTGATGTCCCCTCAACGTAGGGACACCAATGGATCCTGGACGCAACATCCAAAATAATCTGTGGGTGACTGTCCAGGAAATCACAAGGGTACCTATGCCCCTTGAGTTGCATGTGAAACACAGGTCTTACTATGCCTGCTTCAATAAACTATCACAAACTCAGTGGCTTAAGACAATGGAAGGATATTATTTTACAATTCTGGAGGCCAGAAAAGTCCAAAATCGATGTCAGGAGAGCTCTTGCCTTTTCCAATTTGTAGAAATCACGTGCATTCATCATTTTATAGTCTCTATCTCCATCCTCAAATTCAGTAGCAAAGTTCACTCCAGTTTCTCTCCAACTCCTTCCATCTCATGAGGCCTCATATGATTTCACTGGGTCCAAATAGACCTTGGAGGGAGAGTCCCCTTTGTCATTAATGTAAGATTGCTATAGATTCTAGGGATCAAGACTCAGACATCTTTGATGGACTGTCATTCTGCCTTCTGCAGACTCTGAGCAAGATGGGCTCAGTTTGGAGGTCCTAGGCTGGACCTTAGTCTTAGGCCTCCCTACCGACTCTGTTCAAAGTAGAACTCAGTAAGGGTAGAGGGCTCACTCTCTTTGGTAAGCTGCACTGGCTGCTGGGGCTCAACTGGGCCACAGAGGAACCAGCCAGGGAAAGCAGCAGCCTCGAGCTTGAAAGCAGAGCCCAGGCTTCTCTGGAAAAATGTGAAACGGGTGGTTTGTTCACCGCCCTTGTACAGGTCCTCGATGCTCACATCCTGTGGGGAAAAAGAGAGCCAACTATTAGATGAGTGTTCTGATTGCGATGTCAGCCCTTAATGCCTCGGTAGCTTGGCCAAAGGACTTAAGAGGAAAGAGTGACTCAGGGATTTCCCTTCTGTAGATCCCAAGAGGCTGGGATCCCCTTTCTGGAAACAAAGAGAGATGAGGGGACAAGAGAGGGAGCATACAGGTGCAAAGATTCCTTTGCAACCTGACAACCTGGGCAAGACTGACTCTGTTCTCCAGAATGGGGAGGGGTCTCTCACCTCCAGCTTCAGGGAAGGCCCCTCTCTTGTCTCAACACATGCCAGGCAGCAACTTCCTCCCTGGATCCCCAGGAAGATGGGCACCTTGGAGCGGTCCAGGCCACGGTTAGGAAGGATACAGATCTTCTCTGGGAGGTAAGGCAGAACACAATACAAGAAGTAAGAGGACCCCAGACAGAAGGCTTTTTAGCAAGATATGGCTCAGCCAGGAGTGACTGGACCTGGGCACACTTGGCCTGTTTCTGCATGGAGACCGTAGGGTGAGTGGAAGTCACTAGGACAGGCTGAAACTGCCCTGCACCTCCTCTGGTTATCATGGGGACAACATTCTCATGTCTCTAAAGATGTGAGAGAAGAAAAGAATCAAGGTCCTGTAAACAGATTGAGATTGGGCCCCCTGAGGCTCACCGGCACTGCAGTTGTCTGCATCAGGATCTCCCACCAGGAGCTGGCCATTCCGGGTGTACAAAACCTTTTGATGTGCATCTTTGATTCTGAAACAGGAGGGCAAAGTTAATGGCCTGCTGCCTTCAGGGATCACTGTGCTTTTCAAGCCCTGCACTATGGACCACCACACTGAACCTTTGGTGACTTCTCTATTTCCAGAGAGGAGAGGGACACTGCTCCAATAAGGGCAGAAACAGTTCCATCCCAAAGCAAGAGCAGGTTTCCGAGACTCAGGATTGTCACAGGCTTACAGCGTCCAGTGCCTTCTCATGAAGAGATAGGGGATGTTTTCCTGGCTGTCTGAGTAGTTGCCTTGAGATTCGGGTATCCTGGGGACACAGTGAGCCCTATCCCAGATCTGGAACCACTCATTAATGAAGAGATTGAGACTGTAATAAGTGTGGTTCACTTTGTAACCTTAAAAAAAGAGAGAAATTGAAAATAAAGAGTGTCACTAGACTCTGAACCCACTCTGGCCATGGTGAGGTAAACTCTGGGTGAACCAAATGTAGGAGGCCAAACCAGAAGTAGCTCAGAGCCTGATTAGTCAGCGGGGATGGCTGCGGCTCTAATGACCTGCCTGGGAGGGTAAGTATGCACCAGGGAAGCTGGGGAGAAACAGTCGTGCATGTGAAGCATCAAAACCATGCCTGTTATTAGCCTAGCTGCCCAGCTGGTTTCAGAGATGCCCAGCAATTTCTCTCAGAGCTCAGGAAGCTCCCAATGCCTTTGGACCAACGCCACCACCTCCAGGAGCCTGACTCTGCAACAGCTAGTAATGGCTGTTTAAAAACAGCTCATCTATTGTTTGTAAAGTAAGCTCACTATACATTACGAACAAAGCTCTGGCATTCTTCTCGGATTTGGGGATCTGGGACTTAACCGTTCACCTGCTGGAGGCATTCTGTTTAGACACCACTAAGTTACGGCCAAGGAAGCAGTGTGGTGGTGAATACTTTCATCCCAGCACTTGGGAGGCAAAGGTGAGCAGAGCTCTGTGAATTTGAGGCCTCCCTAACATATGTCCATAGCAAGTTCCAGGATAGTCAGGGCTATAGTGGAATTCTTTTTTTTCTTTCTTTCTTTCTTTCTTTCTTTCTTTCTTTCTTTCTTTCTTTCTTTCTTTCTTTCTTTCTTAAAGATCCAGGTATCAGCCAAGGTCACCGTGAAGATGCTGCCATTGGGACTCAAGATTGTTTAAGCTTTCTAAGAGCTAGATAAGTCAATTCAGGGAACATGGAGTCTGAACCCACTCCCTGCTTTTGGTAGCTGTATGGCATAAGGAAAATTATGCAATCTCTTGGAACTTCAGTTTCCAGATCTGTAAAATGGGCTTCGTGGTACTCTCATGACACATTTCTTAGTCTGCCTCCAAGAGACAGGGCTGTCGTTACTGACAATGATGAAGACTAATTATTAAAATTCTTGAGTTTTTTTTTTGTGGCCAGAGGGAGCTTCATTGCCTTGACTTGGCCTTTTCCCTTCTCATGTGATCCCCAGACCCTTTGATTGAGAAATCACCAAAATTACTTACATGTAGTATCTTGCCATGGGAAGGGAGCACATCCCTGCAGTTAGGAGTTGTCTGGTCTTCACTGGGGAGAAGAAGAAGAGCCGTCAGGAGAACAGCAGTGTGTGTTTGGGGGCAGCCATGCTGGGGCTCAGAGTTACGGCGTTGCATGCTGTTCCCCACCCCTAGGCATCACAGAATCCACCAAGATCTCCCCAGCCCTCCCAGCTCTAGGAAGTGCTACCATATTCCTGGCCATTAGATCAGGTTTAGCCGGCAGAGGTGTGAGCCCAGGACTCTGTCCACTGATGCTAGCTCTCAGAAGCTAGAGAGCAGATTCACCTAAAAAACTACCGTCTTACTTCCCAGGCTGAGAGGTGGGTGCTCCACAGACCAGGGGTAACCTCAGGGCAGATCCAGTCCCATTTCCCAGCCTGGCCCTGATGGTCACCCCTCTCCGTCCCCCTCAACGGGCAGGGAGTAAGACACTTAGCACAGGGAAGGACATCTTAGCTGGGGAGGACAGGCAGGGTTTGAAGGATAGGAAGCATCATTCCTGGGAACTGCAGCTGCTGACACGTGTGCAGAGTTGGTCCAAACGCCTGTCTTTTTTTTTCCAGGTGAAAATAAGAATAGGATTGACAGAGACTCATGCTTTTGAAAATGAGCACCCTGTCGCGAAGAGAGTGGCCGATATATAAACCCCAAGCCATGAAGCTTCCCAGGACTGTGTTCCTTCCTGGAGGAGTGTCCCACCCCAGGGTGCCTCCCTAAAATGGTCACCCAGAAAGTCCAGCCCAGAACAGCACACAAGGAACTCGGAACAGACCCAAGCAGGGGAGCAGACCCCAAGAGTAAATGCCGGGATGACTGGGCCTGACGAGTACGCTCGATCCATGCTGAGCAGGAAGGCAGACAAAAAAAAGAAACCACTGTGTGAGAAAGTAGAGGATGAGATAGAAAAGGAGTGTGTGGGACGAAATGGGGCTTGGAGATGGAAGAAGCCATACTGAGGGAGGCAGATGAGGAGGCAAGGCCGATGCTTGATGGCTGAGTTTCAGGCCTCTTGGGTGTCGCTGAGATCCGTGGCCTGGTATCATAAGAAATGGGGATGGAGCGCAAGTGGCTTCTATTGCTGGTTACATGATTCTGTCACCTTGGAAAGCAACTGGGGTAGAGTTTAAGACCTGTTGAGAGTGAAGGATAGCAGGACACCCATGAGGGTGGAGATGCTGTATGGATGCCAATGTCATGGACCAGGCTCCAAGCATTCTGTGTACTCTGGGATTGCGTGTGTTGTTGCCATGTAGGCAGAGGTAATGGATTGCCCAAATGTTTAGTTATAAAATAGTTCAATTAAATATTTTTACAAGGTTGGGAAGTTGGAAATGCTCTCAATGTCCAATAAATAGGTGGTCGGCTGAAAGGGAACGGCAAACCCAGTAAATAAGAAGTATATGCTCATTAATGATGACATTTATGATGCAAGATTTCCAAATATATGAAGTGAGAAATGTAGGTTAAAAATAATATGCACATTATAATCCCAATTAAACTCATAGTGTAGAGAGGTGCACACATGGGAACAAGGACTTCTGGTGGTCTCACAGCACTCATTCGTGGCTGACAGGGTTGTCAATCATTGTTAATACTCCTCAATGTTTTCCTGTAGTAGATTTGATTTCTTTTGCAATGTAAGCATTATTCTTTAAAAATATGAAGCATTCAGTTAAAGTTATAGGCGCCAAAGAATGCCTGTACATCTGAATCACTTGGTACGTCTTTTCTTCCCACTGTCCTTATTTAATAGTGCTTGAAGAGATTCAAGTAATGAGCCAGGCTTGGGAACTGACACGGCAGGTCAGTTGACCTCACTCTGTGGGTTTCTCGTGTGTGTGTGTGTGTGTGTGTGTGTGTGTGTGTGTGTGTGTGCGCGCGCGCGCGTGTAATGTGTTTGTGTGTGGGGGTGCGGGTACACACATGCCGTGGGGTACGTGTGAAGTCATGGGACAATCTCAGTTATTGGTCCTTGCCTTTCACCCTGTCTAAGACAGGGTTTTGTGTTTACTGCTGTGCACGCCACGGTAGCTAACCCATAGCTTCTGGAGAGTCTCCTGATAAACTCCCGCTTTGCCCCAGGACTGCTGTGATTATAGATGTTCTCTACTGTATCCAGCTTTGTGTGGGTTCAGGGGATCTGAAATCGGAGCCTCAGAGCACATGGTTAGTGCTCTACCTGCTAATCATTTCCCCAGTCCTCACTCTCTAATGCATATTGCTATATCTTGTTTTCTTGTTAAAACAATGAATCCTTTTCTCTAGGTCTGGGGTGAAGCCTGAGACTGCATTTTTAACATTTGACCAGGTCTGGATAATGCTGCTGCTGCTGGCCTCCCAGCCACACTGGGGGTAGTAAAGAATAGTGAATTCTTCCTCTAGCTCAGGTAGACTAATAGCAGCATGGTCTCAAGGCAAGTCTGTTTGACGACATGCTCCCTCCGAGCCAGACCACAGAGTCTCCTTTGGTTGTGGTAGAGGAAGTCCTAGCAGCCAGGAAGCTGGACTGAGGTCCAAGAGCGGCTGCTGAAGTAGGATGTCTGTATGAAGTTGCACATGCGGGAGGATGACTTCAACTCTTGGTCAATGTCAGCTCAAACAGCCAACAGAAATGCAGTGTTCTAGTCAAGCTGGATCCTTGGGGCTCTAGAACTCACCCAGCTTGGTACAGCCCAGACTTCCAAAGTTTCCTATAGCAGGGTCTCTCTGCCTAGGTTCTGGCTAGATTGTGATAGAAGAGTATGAAGTTACTTGCTTGTGGTCACACAGGAAGCTTGGGGTCCCAATGCTCTTCCCAATGTGCCACACACATGACTCCCAAAGTTTTCCCTTCCTTGTTAACCCCCAAACAACCATTCACTCAGTTTGGGTCTGTGTTCCCCTTTTCTCTCTCTAATTTATTCCTGGCCATGGACCTTGGCTAACTCAAACTTCTCTAACTCTCCTGCCCTGGGTCAAGTGCCACCAACACATTACCCTCATTCTCTTGTATATTGTCTATATGAAGCCTGTTGTCCCCAAGAACAACACCAACTTTCATGGAACCTAAACCAAAGGCATTTTAAGAATTATTTTTCTGTTTCTCACTGCCTCCTTGGAATCTTTGGTATTAGTTGATTTTTTTCACATCTCCCCTTCTATTTGTTGAAGACATATTGTGGAGTCCCCTAGGGTCGTTCCTAAGGCTGAGAGTCACAAGGAGATGTCCCACGCACTTGTATTTTCATATGCTATGGAATTACAATCCATCACTTCTTACAGCTACAGTGACCACTTTGGCCTAATGCCTCCCAGACCCAGACTGAACTTCAGCAGTCCATAGTACACCCTCCTCCTTGGGTGTATTGTCATGTACACCAGATATGTAAGATTAAGTTATCTTCTCCTCTCGATGATCTTCCTCAACTCTACTTCTCTCATTTCCCTAATATTTATCTCATTAGTGAACTTCAAACCCCGAGAAGCATTGGAAATACACCTCTGCTTCTCTTCAGGAATCATTCCTTTAAAATGTAACTTTGTTTCTGTTTTTAGTTGCTGCTGTAAACAAGGTAGCCCTCCTGGTTGCTGGACCTTCCACCCAACCTATGGAAAGCAGAACGAATTCATCTTTTAAGCTCATCCTTGACCACATTGCTGCCCAGTTCTAGAATCTACAATGGCTACCGATTTTGCCACCATCTGGCCCTAATTTGCTTGTGCAATAGTATCTCATTTCTTTCTCCAGGACTCCTTCCTCGTCCTCTTCAAGGACATACTCCACACTACCATTGGTTTTCCTGTTCAAAAGCGTTCCCCCACCCCCACTTCCCTCACATCTCACATCACTCATATTAAGGTCACTGGGCATGGCTTCAGTACACACAGGCTCAGTGTCTTGTCTGTCCAATCACATAACAACTGAGAATGAGAGCTCAAACACACAGGGTCATGTCCCCCTCATGGCCAATCCTCAGGTTCATGACATTAGATTATGTGGTTGTCAAGGTTCTTTCTAGGTCAAACTATGATTCTCCCCTTTACTATTGTAACACTACTCTGAGCTCCCATTACACTTTGCTGTATTGCTTATTAGTGTGCATTAAGTTAATTGTTTGCCTTATAAAAGCTGATAAGATCCTGCAATCATGAAGCATGATGTATATAGCTCGTCTGAAGCTCTATCCAACCTCATGATTGACACACACAGGAACTTAACACTAGAACACAGAAACACATGGATCAGGCTTTGACGGCAAGGCTGGATTCCAGAAGTAATTGTGCTACCAGTTCATCCTGATTCTTTTTGTTCCTGAGCCTCCAACCTATTCCCATAGGAATGAGATGTTGGGTAAGATTATTATTTTTTAAACACAGTTTTAAGTTTCATAAGGAGTTCTCTGTCTCTCTTTCTTTTTTAGAAAGAAATCAGTTGGATATATGACAGTTAAAGGGGCGATGGAGACTGCTTCAGAGGTGGTGATGGAGACACTAGCACCTTGGTGGCATTCCTACTGTCTACTGAAGTGAGTCACAGAATATCTCCAAGGAATGTCTTTGTGTCACAGACCAAACTCTGTTTGAATACCACTGACCAAGTTGATTTTTTGTGAGATGATTTTCAAAACTCTGTGATTCTAAATGTATAATAATCTTGTTTTGACCTAATATATACTCCTTAAATTTTACTAAGTGCTCCTAAACCTATAGAGCATCACACAACATTCTATAAAATCATTCCTTGCCCCTAGAGAGCCTAGGCACTGATATAAAAGTGTGTGTGTGTGTGTGTGTGTGTGTGTGTGTGTGTGTGAGAGAGAGAGAGAGAGAGAGAGAGAGAGAGAGAGAGAGAGAGAGAGAGAGAGAGAGAGAGAGAGAGAGACTATCTGTCACCACTGACCTGCAAATTCTGGTGTCTGGAACTCTGATGACTGGAACCTCCAACTGATTTCTTCAGGGAATCAACACTGTGTTTATAATGTCTGGTTAGGGTGGGTCAGGCCTACAGCATCTATAATTGGCTCCAGATCAGGGAAGAAGAGCCCAGAGATTTCATAACATCTTCAACATGGTACAAATAATAAAGAGGTGGGGAGATTAATGAGTGTTTGTGGGAAGGGGAGAGAGTCACCCATAAAGCCTTGACAGAGGCTAGACAGTGACCTCTTGTCTCTGTAGCTACTGTCATTGACTATGTTATTAGTGGTTTTGCTGCTAGATAAACAATGCTGGGGTCAACATCTTTGATGTTCCATCTGAGACCTGGAAAGGTCTGAAGGACCAAAAATAGAAATACTATTGCTGCTGGAAACCAGATGCATCCAGAGAGCCATAATGAAGCGGGGGCTGATTACATCATGAGTGTGGTGGCTGTTTGGGAAAATGAGAAGGAACCCTTTGCTTTTCAGACTTAATTAGTGATCCAAACTTACTGAGACAGAGAATCTAAGGAAACAGCTGTAGAAGATATTGACCTTAGATTTGTATGGAGACTGTATAGGAGCCATGCGCCCTGGACTATCGGGGAGGATGAGAATGTGAACAGTGTAGGGTCAATAGACTCAGTTCTCTAGTTGAGATTACATAACTCTGCCCATCTGTCCATCCATTCCCCCATCTATCCACTGATCTGTCCAGTTAACTATCTATCCATCCAACCATCTACATATTCATTCACCCATCTGCACATCAACCCATTTGTCCATTCTTTATTCATCCTCCACTAGGGGTAAAGAATTGGACAGAGTGTTTTCTGGAGATTTACTGCCTTATTGTAATTCTCCCTTTTGGGTCGTTTGGCAATTTCCACAAAGGACGTGATGAGGATGACTGGATAGGCACAGAATAAGAAATGAGAAAAGATGCATGGGGACGAGACACAGTTTTGCTTTTTTGTTGCTGTTACTAACAGCTGTTGCTGTTTTAAACTGACAATTTGCCAATGATATATATGCCAAGAAACATATATATGGACGGTACTGTGTTGTTTTGGAGAGATAAAATGTTTAGCACATGATTGAGAATCTTTTGGGTATATGCTTAAGAGTGGTATAGTTGGGTCATATATGAGGTAGATAGATGCCCAGTTTTCTGAGAAATCTTCATATTGATTTCCAAAGTGGCTGTATAAGTTTGCACTCCCACCAGCAGTGGAGGAGTGTTCCTCTGACTCCATATCCTCTCCAGCATTGTCTGTCACTTGTGTTTTTGATCTTAGCCATTCTGACAGGTATAAGATGGAATCTTAAGAGTCATTTTGATTTGTATTTCCCTAATGGCTAAGGATGTTGAATATTTCTAGTGTTTCTCAGCCATCTGAGATTCTTCTGTCGAGAATTCTGTTTAGATCTGCACCCCATTTTTTATTTGGATTATTTGTTTTTTTATGTCTAGTTTCTTGAGTTCTTTATGTATTTTGGAAATCAGCCCTCTGTTCTTATCACACAGGTCTTTCACTTGCTTTGTTAGAGTCACCACAAGATATTTTATATTATTTAAGGCTATTGTAAAAGGTGTTGTTTCTCTTATTTCTTTCTCAGTTTGTTCTATCACGCCACAAGGATACTTCCTTAGCTATGCTCATAGCAGCTTTATATGTAAAAACCAGAATCTGGAAACAACCTAGATGTCCCTCAACCGAGAAATTGATCAAGAAAGTGTGGTACATTTACACAACGTAATTTTACTCAGCTGTTAAAAGCAATGCCATTGTGAAATTTTCAGGCAAATGGATGGAACTAGAAAAAAATCACCCTGCGTGAGGTAATCCTGACCCAGAAAGACAAACATGGTATGCACTCACTCATAAGGGTGTATTGTCAGCAAAATAAAGGATAACTATCCTAAAATCCACTAGATAACGAGGGTTCATAGGGGGAACATCCAGATCTCCTTGGAAATGAGAAGAAATAGAAGAGATTTCATAAGTGGACTGCAGATGGGTGGGCATGGGAACATGAACAACCATCAGGTTTGGGGGTAGAGGGAGAGAGTACTGAAGGAGACTCCTGAAAGGGGAGCATTTCAGGGTCAGGTAAAAGCTTGATACAAGGGCATCTCCCAGGAATCTGCAAGAATGACCCCGAATAAGACCCCTAGCTGTAGGAGATACATAGCCTCAACTGGCTGTCTTCTGTGGCCAGGACAGACATCAAGTGGAAGGAATGGAAAACAAACCCAATCACACAACCTTCAACGTATAGTCTGTCATGCCTATGGGATGTGCTGGGGTAAGGTTGGTTTAGAGATTGAGGGAGTGGCCCACCAATGACTAGTCTGCCCTAAAACCCATGCCAGGAGAGTAAGCTCATTCCTGACAATGCCTGAAGCACCAGGACTAAAGTCTGGATTACCCAGAGACCTAGGATAGAACCAAACATGACTGCAGGAAAACTATAATGCCAATATAATAATGCCTAACAATATTCTGCTATACTCAGATCGGTGACTACCAAAATTGTCATCAGGGAGGCTTCATTCAACAACTGGTGGAAATAGATGCAGACCAACAGCCCAACATTAGACAGAGCTCGAGAATTCCTGCTGAAGAGAGGGAGGAAGGGTTTCAGGAACCAGAGGAGTCAAGGACATCACAAGAAAACCCACAGAATCAACTAACCTGGGCTCACAGGGGCTCACAGAGACTGAAAAAAACCAGGGAGCCTGCATGGGACTGATCTAGGTACACTGCCTAGGTGCTACAGTTGTGTAGCTTAGTTCTCTTGTGAGACTCCTAATAGTGGAAACAGGGGCTGTCTCTGACTCCTTTGTGGCTTTTTGGGACCCTATTCTTCATACTGGGTCATCTTACTCAGCTTTAATAAATGGGGTGGTGCCTTGTCTTATTGCAACTTGATACGCCATGTATTGTAGATACCAGGGGAGACCTGCCCTTTCCTAAACAGAAATGGAAGAGGAATGGATTGGGAGGGTGGGAACAGAAGGGTTGGGAGGTAGGAGGGAGGGGAAACTGTGGACCAGATGTAAACTAACTAACTAACTAACTAACTAACTAACTAACTAACTAATGTTTAACATTTTTAAAGACTCCTCACCCTCTGAAAATGATTTCAGATCTTGGTTTGGGTTACCTGTTTTCTGCTTTTATTGTCAATTTTTATTCTTCATTGTTCTTTATAAGTTTGCACCCTCCTGTTGAAAGTACCAAAGCATGAGGGGTCATGTCAGGCAATCAGTAGTGAATACCAAGAACTTACACTGCTGTGTCAAAGACACATAGTGTACCGTGTCTGTTGTTAAGGAACTTTACAGTTTAACTGAGGTGCTAAGTCACAAAACTCATACTCATCTGCAAGCCAAGGGCATGTGAGAGACAACAGCATTGGAGAAACCCTTTAGACATGACGTCAGACCTTGCCTCCAAGTGACCAAATGCTGTGGCATCTCAAGAAATAGTTGATCAGGATTTCCCTAAATAACTCCAAGGTCGGGGACTGTATAGCCCTTGGGAGAAGCACAAAGGTTAAGGTTAAGACTTGGGAGTCATTCAGGCAAAAATGTCCTCCAATAATTTGTACCCAGTGGTCTTTGTTGCATCTTTCTGGATTATAAAAAACAAGTGTATCCTTCTGCCTATAGACCTTTGGATGCTTTACATGAGGTAGGCTGGATTTTACTTTTTCAGGATAAAGGCCATCAGCTCCTTTATTTCTCCCCTATGCCCTGATCTTGAACCTTCTGTGCTCTTCAAGATCTGCAGTTGACACAAGTCCCACCTGCCATGAGCATTTCCTCTCTGAAAATATAGGCCCGGAGCTGTGGTTTCTACCAAAATTACAGAAATCTAAAAGCACATGATGCCAGACTTTCTCAGGCCACATGTGCCTCCTTTTACTGTTCCTATCACAACAATGACAAAACAAATGTGTTTCTATTCCTTCTTTCGATGACTTTGGAAGTGTCAGTTTGCCTAGGATAAAGTCTTTTTGAATTCTCCACCCTACAGAAGATGAAGCAACCACTCTGACCTTTGAGAATGATGTGGGATTTGAACTACTGTTTTATAAGGGTGTAGATGGGTGGAGGAAAGTAAAAAGATGTTCCAGAATTGTGAGTTTCCACATTCTGTACTCACCATGTTCCAAAAGTTTGCCAAGTATTAATCTAGGTGCTCAAAAACATATTGATGCATCTCCAGCCTTAAGGTCATCTGGGTTCTACAGACCCTGAGCCAACTTTTTATAGGGAGATAAGCACAGAGTATCATCATAGCAAATGGCCAGGGAACTTATCTCTTCAAATCTTTTTACAGTAGGTGATATCTTAGCAGGGTATTAAAAAGTGAGTGACTTCTGTAGGCAGACAGGATGGGTACAATGTCTCCAAGCGGAAAATACACCATGACACTGTTTGACTCACAGATATTGTAAATGGGGGATGCAGAAATACAGTCTTGTACCTGAGATTCATGTCCTTGGCATCCCCAAGAGACCTGTGGTAGAAATGGTGCTTCCTGTTGCTCAGGAAACCTTAGGAGTATCTAGACTGAAGATTCTAGGACAAGGTGGAGGTTGCCTCTTCTATCTTGACCACTTCTTTGCTGGTCCTTCTGCTAACCTGCCAACTGTAAACCTGGCCTGACAAGTGAACCACAGCTAAACACCCGGGGCTCAGATATGGACCCCTTCTTTTGCTTTCACTCTTGGTCCCCAATGTTTTAGGTAGGAGTGTTAGAGACAGAGACTGGTGTGTAGGCAGGAAGTGCAGAAATGGTCAGAGATGAATCAAACCTTATGGCAACAGGCTGACAGCTAACAACTGAAGTATGATCAGCTTTCAAATAGGCTATTTGGGTTAATAAAGGGCTGGTGTTCATGTTGAGAAGGAAAATGAAAATACTGGAGAAAATTTTGAGCATACTAAAGTACATGCATGTGTTTCTCTTTTATTGAGTATTACTGCAGGTTATCAACTCACTCCAGAATCTAGAAATAGCATTGGTTAGCTCACAGGGTTTCTATGAGACAGGAATCTGGAGGAGCTTGGTTGGGCAGCCCTGCTTTAGTTTCTTACGAGACTGTAATCAAGCCAACAGCTGGGTCACAATGGCTGCTGGGCAAGCCCTGCTTCTGAGCTCATGTGTGTAGCTGTTGTCCATGGGAGACTAGTTTTTTTGCCACGTGATCTCTCTATAGGGCAGCTTATAGCACAGAATAAGGCTTCTGCCAGGGTACAGAAAAAGACCAGGTACCCCAAAGAAGCCCCTAAGGTGTCTTTTATAATCCACCCTCTGCAATAGGCGCTATCACCTCTGCTGTATTCCAGAGTCCAGAGATAACTGATAGAGCGTTAGAGGGAATGAACACGAGGAAACAGGGGTCACCAGCAGCTCTATCCATTCCCTCCAGCTGCTAGAGCCAATTACCACACACTTAGTAACTTAAAACAGTGCAAATGTATCCCCTGACAATGCAGGGGACCGGAAGTCTGAAATCAAGGCGTCAGCAAGACGGCAGTCCGTCTGAGGCTCTGGGAAGGAAACCCTCCTCCCCTCTTCCTTGCTTCTGGGGGTCCACACTGCCTGGGCCCTCTTTGGCTGGTGGCAGCACCGCTTCAACCTTTGCCTTTGTGTCACATGGGCCTGTCCCCTGTGGCTCTTCTGTGCCAAGTCCTCACGCTTGAAGGATCCCAGTCAAGTGAGATTTGGTCCAGCACTTTAACTGCAAAGACCCTGACAGGGTGAGATCATCGTAGATTTGGGGAGGACATAAATTTGAGGAGGGAACTTTCCAACCAGCACAGTGGCCTCCTCAGAAGCTGGTCATCACTCAGAATCCCAGGGGTTGCTATCACCCCAGGTCAAAGCACAGGGTAGCTTCCCTCCCCCTCCCCTCCTCTCCCCTCCCCTCCTCTCCTCTCCCCTTCCCTCCTCTCCTCTCCCCTCCCCCCTTCCTTCTTTTCTTTTCCATCACAAACTCTTCACATTCTTCCTAGCTTTTCTGGGATTTGCCTCTTGCTCTCTGCTCCTGACACTCAGAGCAGCTGAGCTCAGCTGGATTTCACTTCAGGGTAGCTGGGGTGGGGTAGGCAGACGGTGGGGGAGGGGGAGGAAAATCAGAAGTTCTATCTGCTCCGCTTCCCTCCATATTGATTCCTTTTCATATTATTATGCCAATAATACACCTCCATAATGGAAAAGTTAATAAACACAAATAAAAAGTCACCTATACTGCCCCCATCTGGAGACTGCTACAATTGATGTAAACACTTCCAGACCCCCCCTTTAAAATATGCAATACAGAAAAGTACATTTTAATAAAGATGAAAATACAAGATATGTTGCTTTGTAGCAAGCTCTTCCAAGCTAATGTTCATGAGCATCTTTCTGTATGAGTAGAGACCAGAATCAGGGATTTTTATTGTACCTCTGGGTTCAAACCAGGACAGTGTATCCGTCCATCTTCTGTCTTCTATACTAACATGAACCCCTCAGCCCAGGGCTAGAGAATGAAGGCAGGGATGAAAGAGGCAGCAGATGTCAGCAGCAGGATTGAGGGGAGGGGCCCAGCCAGCCAAAGACCTTGGTGACCTCTCCTTCTCCTGCCCTCTAGGGGGAACTCTGATTAGGTCTCTCTATGCTTAACAATCCCTACCACTCTCTCACACGGCAATCTTTTGTTTTGTTTTGTTTGTCCTGTGTGGTTTGTACTAGTCCCACACCAGAGGTAGTACCGTCCAGTGTGGAAGGAGTCTACACACTGAGCTCCGGATACCCGAAGAATTTACTGGGAACCTGGAGAAGGGAGAAGAGAACCGCTGTGTGCCTGCTAAGTAAGAAGCGGGAGTCTTGAGGGGAGGGAGAGGAGTAAGTCACCCTCCATCACTACCTGACCCCCACCACACTGCCTGATCTGCCTCTGCCTTGGGAATGTAGGGGACCACGCAGCCCTAGTCACACTGCTGAAAGTAGAAGTCCATGATGGGAGTGTCCCAGGCGGCATTCTCAGGGATTTGGGTGAGCCTGACCGGCTGGTCTGCTTCAGGCACAGTGCATAGGAACCAGCCTGGGTAGGCAGCTGACTCGAAGCTGGAGGTGAGGCCCATATCCCGCCGGTAGAAGGTGAAGCTCTTGGATTCCTTGGTCCCGAGGTAGAGCTCCATAATGTTCACTGGCTGTAGAAAGGGCATGATGGATGAGACCCAGGAGTGGGCGAGAGAGAGGGCAAAGCTGGACCAGGGAACGGAACTCAGAGAGGAGCAGAGGTTATTCAACAGTGCCTTCGCCAGCATCCCAAGGCTACCTAGGCTGTGGCGGCAGAGTATGCTTGCCGTTCCTGTGTTAGGCCCAGGAAACGAAGAAGATGCAGTAAGACTCACCTCAAGTTTCAGAACTGGCTCCTTCTCTGTCCCACAGGACAGGCACTGGCTTCCTCCCTGAACACCCAGGATGACGGGGGACAGACTGGCATCCAGTGTCCGATTTGGGACAACGCTGATCTCCTCGCCTAGAGGAAAAAGGCAAGATGCAGGAATTTGCTTGTCCTTCTGTCCACTCTCCCTCAGAAGGGCCTTTAAGGGATTAGAACCAGTGTGAGGCATCTTGCCTTCCAACACGTGGGTAAGGCTAACCTCCTGTCACTTGGTCCAGATTGTAAACCAAAGCACAGGAATACCAGGTACAACCTCCTACTCCATCCCTCTTGCTCAGGGCCAAACTTTGAGAGATTCCCTAAATTCCAAGAGATCATCCTTTCCATCACTCCCTGGACTCCCATGCCTCTTTTCTGGACCTTGTCTTATCCTGCTAGCGTTGTGTCCTGCCTTTAGCCCCCATGGGATTTTTGCAGAAGAGAATTTCTCTTTTCTCTGTACATCACCCATCATACCATGTACACATGCACACACACACACACACACACACATACACACACACTGCATCAACAATGCATATATACATAGATATAATCACATATGTATGCATCCCATACATATTACACATACTCAAAACATGTATATATCCTTAGGCATATATACAGACAATACTTATGTGCAAATGGTATGCACATACATACTTAAGCAATAAGCATATATATATATATGAGCTTATGTGTGCACATAAAGCTATACCCTTTATATGTTCACATTTGCACACATGTACACACAATGCAACAAAGGTGTCTGTATGGATCCAGTACCCCATAAGGGTGTCCAAATAAACATGTATGCACCAATGTGGAGAGGCCTGTCAAAGCATGAGGGCACAACGAGTAAGCAAGAGGCCAGAGGGGCTCCTACTATCCAGATCTCAGCATTGAGGATAACCAAGGATCCCTAGAAAGCAAGATAGAAGAGCAGAGCCTGGGAATGAAGTTCTGTTAGCCTTTTGCACAGTACTGTCTCCCGAAGACACAGAATACCCAAAATAGTCTGTGATGGAAACCTAAGTCATTTGTCCTGGAAAATATCTGACATCTCCACAGACGCTTGAAGCCTGTTTTATGGTGCCCTATCTGACATGGTTCTTGGGTCTGCAGGCCTGCCACTGGTTTACAGAGTCATTTAAAGGCTTCTAAACACATACCCCCAGAGAATCCAGAGGCTGGGACTCAGATACCAACCTTTAATGACCTTCCCGGCATGCAGCCCTCCAGCCATCAGCTGGTTATTGTGCAGATAAAGTACCTTCAAGGCTGAATCCTTCATTCTGTAATACCAGGAAGGGACAAGACTCTGTAAGGGTAGGGATGAGCACCCCACCTTGCCCTGGCTCCAGAAGGTCTCCCAATACTCAGGTATCTTGTCTTCTTCTATTTCCACTGAGCCAGACACAGCCAACAACTTTCAGCTCTGCAAGATGACCCCTCTGCTATCCATCTGTGTCTGAGGTCTGCTCTCTCTCCCTGTAGCAAACCTTGTATATCTCAGAAAATCCCCCTCTCTGTTCAGTTGAAAGAGTCTATGAATTGGAGCCCTGTGTTCTTCAATGCCAGGAGACCACTTCTCCAACCTTCTCCGATGTCCTTGACACATAGGCTTCTTTTATTAAAAACTTTATTGATGAGCCTCAAATTGTTTGTAAATTTCTAGCCCTGTGGCATCCCTGTGAGCAGAAGAGGGTTGTACCTGAGTTAACTCTGCATTGGGAAGATTTGGAGAAGAGCTGCAACAAACAAAACTCTTGCCCTGAGTATGACTCTGTTTATTGCTAAACCATGACATTGGGTTAAATAACACCCAGAACACTTTCTAATTAAAATCTGCTGCTTTGCTTTTTGTTTTGTTTTGTTGCTTAAGATAGGATCTCACTGTATAGCCCTGACTGGTCTGGAACTCATTATGTAGACCAGGCTGGCCTTGAACTCATAGCTTTGCGTGACTCTATCTCTACTCTTACTGAATATTTCAAAGCACACCTGTTTCCACGGAGCCATGGAGTCCAAGTTCTATTTTACTTTTCAAAGTTACTTTTCACCTGATTTTTTGACACTCTGTAAGGTGAAATATGCATTAAGTAGACCTTAAGTAGACTTAAGTAGGCCTTTGCTGATGTCATATGGGGAAAACTTTACAGTGTAAAAACTGTTTTGATGTCTGGCCAAACCTTTTTTTTTGGCATGTGTATTTGTATGTGGTGTGCACATGCCCACAAGTTTGAGCATGTACACAGGGGGAGGCACAACTCCACCTTGGGTGTCTTTCTTAATCTTGTACCACTTTATTATTGAGGCAGGGTCTCTTGCTGAACCTGGAGCTTGTCAATTTGGCTAGTCTAGCCAGCTTGCCCCAGGGATCTCCTGTCTCTCCATCCCAGGTGCTGGGACTAGGGACTGCTTTCAGATAGCCACCAGGCTTTTATGCAGATTCTGGGGATATGAACTCTGGAAGTCACATTTTCCCAACATGAACTTTATCCACTGAGCCATCTCCCAAGCCCCAAATGTGAGGAGGAAACAGCATTCTACACCCTCACTCAGAGAACATGATTGCATGAACTATCTCATGGGACTGAGCTTCGGAGAACACACTTTGAGAAATCCTCCAACCCTTTGGTAGCATACAGATTGGCTCTGGGATGGCTACAGATACCCAAACCCATAGGTGCGAAGACTGTTATACAAAATGACTGTAGTATTTGTGTCTAACCCATGTCCATCCTCCTGAACTCCTTAATCATCTCTGCATTACTGTAATACCTAACAACATGTAAAAAGTACGTACACAGTTATGCTGTTATTTAAGGGAGTAGCAACTAAGAAGTCTGTATATGTTTACCATGCTTGCAAATTTTTTCCTATCATTTTCAGTTCAGTTTGTTGAATCTGTGATTGGAGAAACCACAGATACAGTGGGCTGACAAGTTATAAAACGAGTCCAATGAGAATAAGGACCATTCTCATCTGCCTCTGTAAAGTCTGTAGTAGAGTACCTACCAGGGAGTGAGAGATGGACAAGCCTTTGTGCTACTCCCACCCCCAGAGAGGATCACCAAGGAATTAGTCCGGTGGTGGGTCTGATGGCAGTTCTTCTAAAGGGGACACAATAGTGGAGTTCTGTAAGGGACACTGAACTCTCCTTCTCACCAACAACAGCTGGCTGCAGCTCTAGACTGTCTAGTTAATAGTCCCATCCCCCATCCCATACACTTGGAATCAGGGCCCTGTGAGAATCCTGCTCAGTCCTTCCCCAGGCTGAAGAAGGCCAGAGGAGCCTTCTTCCCAGCTACCTGTGAGAGCCCAGCTGGGAGAAGGTCCCTTCTTTTCTTCCCGGAACTCACTTTTCGGAGACCACCACCAAATCAGATAACCAAATACTCACCGGAAGCACAGTGCCCCACTCAGAACCATCATGAACACAACAGTATGCAGACCCTATTGTGAAAGAAACAGTAGGAAATTTTAGGCAAAGACCGGGCTGGGAAGTCAGAGGCCTGAATAGAGAGCAGGCTCCAGAGCCTGTCAGCTGTGAGCAGCCTGTACACAGCAGGACATTCCAGATGCAGAAGCCAGGAAAGAGCCCACACAGGACCCCTCAGATCTTGCCTTCCTCCAGGCAGGAGCCTGTGGTTGTCTGTCTGCCCCTCCAAGATGCCCTGGTCCTTTAAGTACATGAAGTGCACTAATGATCTAGGGAGGAGTCCTGAAACTCAGTAGGGAGGAGCAGGGTTTCCCAGAATGACTTCACATCATCCCAAACTCCCAAGGCACCTGCTGCTGCACCTTCTCTCAATGAAGGAAGCTTCTGAGACAGTCTTCTTCCCACAATTCTGAAGGACTTCCCCTGGACTTGACAGCTCTCCAGGAACAGCAGCTTCAGGTAGTAGATCCAGGAAGCCAGAGCAACCTTCTCTCCCTCTCTCCCTCCCTTTCTCCAGTCCCTCCTTCCTGCCCTTGCCAGACCTATGGAGCTGTTGGAGGCGGAGATCTGCTTAGGAATGTTTAGGCAACAGTTGTAGAAAAACCAGAAAGTCCAGACAAGCAAAAAAGAAAAAAATATGCATGCTTACTTGTCTTTGGATACATTACCAAAAAACAAATGTCAACACCTTTTCCTTTGTGCGCATTTAATCACAGGCAGCTTTCTATATGACGATGCCATAGAAACTATACATTTTTCAACCTCCATTTTCATGTAGGAACATATTAGGATATCTTTCTACACCAAATATGATAATGACATTATAAATCTGAATAGCTACATAGTATTTTATGTATAGTTGTAGAAGCATCATTCATGTACTCATCTACTTACCATTGGTCCTTCTATAATTGGGTTTGCTTGCTTGCTTGATTTTGCTATTGAACACTATATTATGATAAATCTCTATGATTCTATACTGTGTCTTAAATACTTGGTTAGTAAAATAATGGCATTTATAAAATAATTTATATGCTTGTGACAGAATTAGAGCTATGGATCAAAAATGTTAGAAGTTTTGAATACTGCTAATAACTGTTGATTGTCGTGACAAATCTCTCAGAAAAGTAAATTTTATGTAGAAGCTGTCTAATGCAAAATTGGCAGATGAACTACTAGTTGATCAAGTTGAACTACACTATAATATCTAAAACCAAAACAGAATTCTAGGAAGAAACAGCCTATAGGCTAATCAGAGTTTTAAGTAAGATTTGTTCTTATCTGTCAGAGAAGACAATATTGTTTCATCTAAAAAAAACCAGAACATCTGTTGCAAGATAGTGCCCCCTAGACATGACAGGGATACCGCACCCAAGAGATCTCTATGATGTAGTTGCCTAAACAAGGCCTGCATAATGACTACACAAGTTGACATGTAATTGTGGATGAGGACATTCTCAATGCCCTCTTCCTAGATGGAGAACTATAGGCAGTCATGCCTGCTGAGAGATGGAAAATTTAGTTTTTCTATGGATGAACTCCCTAAAAGGTTATTTGGTCCCAAATGGTCACCCTAAATGCATGTACATACAAGCAACACTAAACAGACTAAGTATCTTGTGTATGTGTGTGTGTGTGTGTAAAACAATAATAATTATAGAAGAAACAGTTTTGAGTTTTAAAGAAACTAGAAGGTATATTTGAGCAGTTACAGGGAGGAGCAGGAGTAGACATGATGTAAACACAATACCCATGTATGAAATTCTCAGAAATGTGAAGTTAAAAATTAAAAAAAGAATACCATCTACCCAGGTCACCTTCCCTGACTCCTTGCTGCAGTGAATTGTGCCCAAGTGTCCAGTGAACAGTGTCATGAGGCCCTGAGACAGAATAATGCCTATCTATGTGTGACCTGTAGCGATGTGGCAGACTTGCAGGATGCACAAGCAGGGATGTCTCTGCCAGGGTTGCTGCTGTAAAAGTGCTGATGTAAGGATCCACACTAGGATGAATGGATGGAAGGAGGCACAACCATTGTTAACCAAGTCTCCACATGTCAAAAGAAATGATGCCAGTATGGGGTTTGGGCACAACATGAAACAAACTTCACTAACCATTAGCTCTCTCAGAACACATCCCTTGCTTTGAGTTGTTGATTGCTATGGATTAGGTTTCAATGTTTGCCTATGGCTCAGTATCTCCATTGAGACAGGCTGGTGTGCATCTCTACACTACTCACAACATCCAAGCTGTAGAACCAGCCTAGTATTCATCAGTGAATGAATGGGTGAAGAAAATGTGGTTTACACATGCTATGGAGTCTTGTTCTGCCATAAACTATAATAAAATTGTGTTACTTCAGGAAAAATGGAGCTGGGGTTCATCATGTTAAATGGAACAAGCTAATCTCATGAAGACAAGCTATGCATGATCTTGCTCATTTGTGAAATCTAGCTAGAAGAAAAGAACAAGAGAGGTTATTAGAGATTTGGAAGTGGAAAAGAGGGGAGAAGGGATCATAAAGAGTTATAGAAAGAATGATTATGACGAAAGTATATTATATGTGTGTATGGAAATGCCATGAGGAAACCCATTACTTTACATAAGTAATGAATACACATGAAGAGTGACTCATGTTGAAATTTAGTCCTCATTGTAGATATCAAGAAATGGGAATAGTTGGGACCTTTGAGAAGTTATTAAGTCCTGAGGGCAGGGAATGAGTTAATCTAGTTAAGGGTTACAGGTTCATTGGATTATCCAGGGTGTGGACCTGTATACAAGCCAGCTTGGCCCTCTCTTCTTTGTGCATGCCTCCTTCACTGGGCAGTGCCCTCACCCACCTTCTTAGGTTCCTGAAGATTCTTCACCAGCAAGGGGGCCTTCGCCAGATGCGAGTGCAGAGTTTGACCTTCTAGGCCTTATAGTTGAATTAAATAATCCTATTTTCCATATAAATCAAGGCAACAAAAAAGTGGATTGGGTAGATTCAAAGCATGTCCATAAATTCACGGAAATTTCAGAGGGAGCTTGTCACGGGGGAGGGGTAACGTAAGAAAGAGACCATGAGAAAAGTAGAACAATGTACATGCATGAAAATGCCATATGGAAAGCTATTATGTTGTATGCCAACTAAAATTAACAAAGAAAACAATCTTACATGAGATCATGTTTCATTCGCCTTCTCTTGAGAGTAGGCTAACCCTGGTGACTTGTTTCCAGTAAATATGTTCTGTGGCAGGAAATGACAGAGTGCCACTTCTGAAACCAGGGCATAAGAGGCACCCCAGCTTCCTCCTGGCTTGTTTCTGGATTATTCACCTGGGGGAAGTCAGTTACCACATGACAAATACACTCAAGTGACCTCACAAAGAGGCCCACACTCTGGAGACTTGATGTCCTGAGTGAAGGTGTATTGTTGACATAAGCATAGCCATGTCAAGTACCCAAAGCCTCCAACTCATGGGAATGGCAAGGCCTTGCCCTGGCCTGAGTATGGATGTTGGTGAATCTGGAATCAGACCTAGCTGATACCCGGTCAGTAACCCCATGAGAGCATGGTGAAGGAACCATTTGATCCCAGAATCACATGTTTCTTGCTTCAGTTTTGGGGCTCATTTGTTAAATATAATTGATAACTAGTACACCTTGTCTTGATGACTGGAAGTTTGTGCTACTGCTGTTTTTTCATTCTCCACAGTGGCCAGTGGGTTTCTTCCCCTCTCAGCAAACATTTCAATTATTTATGGCCATCATATGTCCTAGATTGTGTCAGATTTGGAAAAGGGGCAGTGTCTCCTAGGTGACTCATCACCACCTAGATGATGGCAGTACCTTTGGATGGATAGACATATAGCAGTAACATAGTGTATTCACTTCCTGAGCGTGTGAGCACAGTCCAGGGTCCCCTGGAGTTAGGCTAATGGTTTGCCTGTCATTTTTCACCCCATATTCTCATGCTTGTGTGAATCTGTTCTATGAAGGTAGAATCAGACACAGAAAAGTTCATTCCATTTCCTGACATGTAACAAAGCAAAAACTGAACCCAAGGCTGTTGACACCAAGTGGTGTCTGACTAATCCTTTTGCTACCACAGTCAACCCTTACTGTTCTTCTGGTCCTCACAATAATTATAAGACCCTACAAAGTAAGGCTCCCATAAACCACTAGCCCCTCCTTTCCTCACCAAGGAGAGTAAGAGCCACCAACACAGAACAAGCCAGGGATGCTCCACCCAGGACCTTTTCACTCACCTATCTCCCTGCCCAGATAGCTCTGCACCAATGCCTTAGCACACTCCCTCCCTTGCCTCTTCTAGGCCTCAGATTCAATGCCACCTTCTCCATATGTCGCTATTGCATGCATTTGTTTTGTGCTCCTACACTCTTACCATTCTTCATTTTTCGCCCTGGTACTCACCATCATTTAGCACATCGTATAATCAATCAGATGCAATGGCGAGTATCAGATTTCTCTGCCTAATACTGTTGGATGCTAAACTCACATCCGGGAGGTTTACTGTCAATTTCGTGAATGGATGAAGCCTAAGCCCTTTGGATGGTCCTAATATGGACTGTGTTTCTATAAACAGATACTGTAACAGGATGAATTGTATAGTTTCTTACATTAAAAAGGCCAAGGAGTTGTCTATTATTTTATCATTGTTATTTCACTTCCCAGAGAGATTTGGAGATGATAGGGATTCATTTTTCTTGATGCGGTAGTTAAGAAGATGAGTTGGGGGACTGAAGAGATGTCTTGATGGCTAAGGGTACTTGCTGTTCTTGCAGAGTGTTAAGAGAAGCTTTCCTTGAGAGGAGCCTTCCCGTCAGCCTGGTTCCAGAGCCGCTTCAATCCCAAATAAACACACAAGAGGCTATATTCATTATGAAGTTGTTGGCCTTGCTTGTCTCTTACTGGCTAGCTCTGCTTTAAGTAATTACCCCATAATTGTTAATCTAAGTATGTCTCTTACCGGAGAATAGTTCCGGGGTCCTACCTCATGGCGTTACATCTCGACTCTCTTGTGTTTCTCCTCCCCAGAATCCTCCTGGATTCCTAGCCCCACCTATCTAGGTTCCTATTGGCCAGACAGTCTTTATTGACAAATGCACAGGACTTCCCCAACATCTCCTCTTTTCTGTTTAAACAAAAAGAAAGGTCTTAACTTTAACAGTCAAATTGTATATAACAGAACAGTTATCAAGTAAGAACATAGTTACAATATTTTAGCAAGATTTAAAGAAAATATCATCCATCTCATCCTTGTGAGTCCAAAGTTCTATATGTAGTTTATCTCTTATCATAACTAAGGAAAACTATAACTATAACTATCTGTCTTCAACTCCATCAAAGACCACAGAAGGATAATATATAAACACTAGGATTGACAGAGACATCTTACTGCCTGGACAGTCACCTGAAGTTCCTCTGTAACGTTGGGGCATCCATCTTCAGCCCATAGGCCACAATGTGTCTGGAACACTTCTCAGCAAAGCAGGAAATTTCAAACTGTCCATCTGCATTGGCAGTCTGTCAGTCCTTTTTTCTTTGTCCTGCAGAAAGTCTCGTAGACTCTTCATCAAGCAGGAACCCTGTAAGACTGAGTTCAGTAGTCACTTTCCTGTGGGTCCTGCATGTCCAGATTATACAACAGCAGTCAAACAATCTAGGCAAGAGCAGTTTCTTGCCCAAATGGCTAATCTTGCCATGTTGAAAGCAAACTTTATAACGAGTTTCTTCGATGCCCATCTTCCTCTCAGACGTAATTGGTGCTGCCAGGAGCAGACATTTCTCATTGTCAAGACAAACCCTAAACCATTTTAAATGCCATGTTCTGAAGGTCTTTGAGAGGTTTGAAGATTGCCTATCTCAAATATATTTCTGTATATCTAGAAACCTAACTTATGTAACTAGAAATTCTATTATAAGTAACTATCTATAGTCTGTATTCAATTATGCATTACATTTTAAAAGATCAGTATAAGCACAATACTTAATCAAGAGGAGAAATATAAGCATCACAAAATTGACCTTGATTTTGTCTCAATAAATGAAAAACAATACCTATATCATAATTCCCCTTTTTACCATTAAAAAAATATTGGCTGTGATCATTAGCCAATTATAAACAATCCCATTTAAATGAAAACAAAGTTTTATAAACAAGATGGGAATTGGGACGTCGCTCATTCCAAACTGCTTCCTGCTGGAAGGGGGCGCTGTTTATACCATGGGGATCATGACAAAACTCAGAAACCTGTATAAGTCCGTATTTTCGGGGTCTGTAAAGCTCCATCATCTTAGCTGTCTCAATTGTTGGAACCCCTGGTCCACTGCTTCCGGGGGTCTTGGTTGGTCAAACCACAGAAGCCTGGAAGGAATTCTCAGCTTTTCATTTTCTGTAGAAACATAAATGAAAACTCCTTTTCCGAGTAACATATCCTTATGCTTAAATTTTGAAGTCAAGGTATTTTCAAAAGATATAAGTTGTATTAATTTAGCAGCATTTATAAGCAAGTGTACTTTAGTAGCAGTTCCTTCCTGAGCAAGCAAAAAACTGAAAAACATAATAGCGTACAGTATCCAGACTCTCTGTGTATTTTCCATCTTTACGTGGCTTATTTATTTATTATTACTTTATTTATTTTACTTTTATTTATTTTTCTCTGAGACAGGGTTTCTCTTTGGAAACCTGCCTGCCTCTGCCTCTGGAGCAATCCTACCGGCATGCACCACCACAACGCCGGCTTTTGTATTTATTTACCACTTTGCCATTTCATTTTCTCTCTCAATCTCACGTATATTTTTAAACACACTGTAAACCTTTAGAGGTTTTTCTTCATTTAAGTCTGACTTTACTGTAAATCTTTATGTTTTTCTGGCCACGTGTCTTATCTGTAAAACCGCGACTGTTTTAAACTGCCGTTTCAAGATGGCGGGCGTAAGCGTGATTCCAGCTTACCGCCTCAGTCCATGCTGACATCCAGCAAAAGCTGCCACTTCCAGCTGTACGTACACACCTTTTAATTGTTAGCAGAGTCTCTTAAAACAACCTTACTGGTTTTTTTTTCTTTTTATGCCGAGTCAGGAAGACTCCAGTAAGCAAGCCACGTGAATCTTGGCTTGTCGATAGCAAAACAGAGCACACCTGAGAAAAATGCTGCTACCAATAATCTGTGCTTCTCTCTGTTCTTCTGTTTCTAAAATTCCTTTAAAGCTTTTGTTATTTTGCATGGAAATTCGATCCCACTCCTGATCACCATTTTGTTAAGGGAAGCTTTTTCTTTGCTAGCCACTTTGGTTTATCACCCGCCAGCCGCCTGGGCTCTGCCACATTCTAGTCCCCAAATAATCACACAGGACGCTGTATTAATTATGAAGCTGTTGGCCTTGCTTGTCTCTTACTGGCTAGCTCTGCTTTAAGTAATTACCCCATAATTGTTAATCTAAGTATGTCTCTTACCGGAGAATAGTTCCGGGGTCCTACCTCATGGCGTTACATCTCGACTCTCTTGTGTTTCTCCTCCCCAGAATCCTCCTGGATTCCTAGCCCCACCTATCTAGGTTCCTATTGGCCAGACAGTCTTTATTGACAAATGCACAGGACTTCCCCAACAGCAGAGGACCAGGGTTCAGTTTCTAGCACCCACTTAAGGCAGCTCATAACCGTCTGTAATTCCAGTTCCCTGGAACCCAGCGATGACTCCTTTAATAAACCATGGGCACTGCACTCACATAATGCACACACTCACATACAGGAACACAAATTAAAAAAAACTTTTGTTTGTTTGAGACAGAGTTTTGCTGTGCAGCCCTGGCTTATCTGAAATTCACTTGAACTAGGTTGGCCTCAAACTCAGACATGCGCCTGTGTCTGCCTTCCAAGTGCTGGGATTGAAGATTCACACCACCATGCACCACCCCCACCACCAAATTTAGAAGAGCATGAATTAGAAAACATCGGTTTTGGCACCAAGATAAGCCCCACTACTTGTTTTATAAATAAAGGTTTACTAGGATACAGCAAAGTTTATTGGCTGCAATATTGCCTATGGCTGCATTTACACTCTGAAGTCAGATGTAAATATTTGTGAGTGATGCTGTGTGATCTGCAAAAAAATTTTTTACTGCATGGCCTTGTATAGGCTACCTCAGACCAGGTCTAAATCTGTCACTTCCTGGAACAGTGGCCAAGTTACCTAATCTTTATATATTTTAGAACTTTCACATATGAGGTGAGAAGTGCATTACATTGATAATAATATGATTGTTGAGTGAGTTAATACATGTGTTGAGTGAGAGTGTGGCAGACA